AAAATTAATGTATCGGGAATAAAATATTTGAGTAATTTATGTTTTGTCTGAAAATACGCACAAAGTTAATTGTATTTTCAACAAGTAATAAAACAATATTTGTTTCCAAAGAGCTCTTCAGGATGCATTGATGGTACTAAAATGTTAAAATTTAACTATGTTGTATTTGAATATGTCTAGTTTTATCGCACATAAAAAAATTTAAAATTTCAGAATAAAATATTTGGTAAATTAGGATTTTAGCTAGAAATACACATTGATTATTTTTTGTTTTAACGAGCTCTTCAGGACGTACTGTTAGTCGTACTAGAATGTTGTATTAGGGTATGTTATTGAATATGTCTACTTTATTAACAAATACTAAAATTGATGACTCTTGAATTAAATAAGCAACTATATAAACATACTAAAGAAATTGGTATTCGTGTAGATAAGATATAAGATTCATATATAGATTTTGAAGAGCTCTTCAGAACGTACTGATGATAACAGAATGTTGTAACTTTTTATTATGTACTTCAATATGTCTTTTGTGACTACAATTAATAAAATTTGTAGGTCTAGAATAAATATACGGGATTATTGTTTTTGTCTAGAAAAACATGCTATAGTTGATTTTTTTGGTCAAAATTTGTAATTCAACGAGCTCTTCAGGACGTGGTGTATGTACTAGAGTGTTGAAATTTGGGTATGATATACATGAATATGTCTATTTTGATAGCAGAAACTAAAATTAGCAAGTCCCGAATAAAAATTATGACTGATAAATATTTAAGTAAAAAATACACAAAAGATATTGATTGGGACAATTGGGTATGAGGTAATAAAACGAATATTGTTTTCAAGGAGCTCTTCAGGACGTACTGTTAATACTAGAAAGTTGTATATTGGGAATTTTATACTTGAATATGTCTACTGTAATAACAAATACTAAAATTGATAAGTCTTGAACAACAAATATAAGAAATTAAATAATTAACTAGATAAACATATTAAAGAAACTGATAATGTATTTATATATAGATTTTGAAGAACTCTTCAGGACGTATTGATGATAATAAAATGTTGTAACTTTTTTATTATGTACTTCAATATGTCTTTTATGACTACAATTAATAAAATTTGTAGGTCTCTGAATAAAATATATGGGTAATTATTGTTTTTGTCTAGAAAGCTATAGTTGATTTTTTTAGTCAAAATTTGTAATTCAATGAGCTCTTCAGGACGCAGTGCTTGCACTAGAGTGTTGAAATTTAGGTATGATATACATGAATATGTCTACTTTGATACCACAAACTAAATAAATAAAATAGACATACTATTATGATAAAAAATACTAAAATTGATAAGTCTTGAACAAAAAATATAAGTAATTAAATAATTAACTAGATAAATATACCATAGAAACTGATAATGTATTTATATATAGATTTTGAAGAGCTCTTCAGGACGTATTGGTGATAATAAAATGTTGTAACTTTCGTATTATGTACTTCAATATGTCTTTTATGACTACAGTTAATAAAATTTGTAGGTCTCAGAATAAAATATACGGGTAATTATTGTTTTTGTCTAGAAAAACATGCTATAGTTGATTTTTTTGGTCAAAATTTGTAATTCAACGAGCTCTTCAGGACGTGGTGTTTGCACTAGATTGTTTAAATTTGGGTATAATATACATAAATATGTCTATTTCGATAGCAGAAACTAAAATTAGCAAGTCCTGAATAAAAATTTAAAATTAATCGATATTTAAGTAAGAAATACACTGAAGATAATGGTTGGGATAATTGGAATTCGCGGTATGAGGTGATAAAACAAATGTTTGTTTTCAAAGAGCTCTTCAGGACGTACTGATGGTACTAGAGTGTTGTAATTTAGGTATGATATACATGAATATGTCTACTTTAATACCACAAACTAAAATTGGTAAGTCCTGAATAAAAAAATATGACTGATAAATATTTAAGTAAAAAATACACAAAAGATATTGATTGGGATAATTGAGTATGAGGTAATAAAACGAATATTTGTTTTCAAGGAGCTCTTCAGGACGCACTTATAGTACTAGATGTTTGTAATTTTGGTATTTTGTTCTTCAATATGTCTACTTTTGGACCAAAATATTAAAAGTGATAAATTCAGGATAAATCATGCAGATAAATTATATTTTTGTCTAAATTTACACTTTTCCTTGACTAACATTTTACAGATGTTTGTATTTCAAGGAGCTCTTCAGGACGTACTGATGGTACTAGAGTGTTGTAATTTGGGTATGATATACATAAATATGTCTACTTTGATACCACAAACTAAAATTGGTAAGCCCTTAATAAAAAAATATGACTAAAAAATATTGAAGTAAAAAATACACAAAAGATATTGCTTGGGGTAATTGAGTATGAGGTAATAAAACAAATATTTGATTTCAAAGAGCTCTTCAGGACGCACTTATAGTACTAGATGTTTGTAATTTTGGTATTTTGTTCTTCATTATGTCTACTTTTAGACGAAAATATTAAAAGTGATAAATTAGGAATAAATCTTGCAGGTAATAAATATTTTTGTTGAAAAAAACACTTTTCCTTCACTAACATTTTACAGATGTTTGTATTTCAAGGAGCTCTTCAGGACGTACTGATGGTACTAGAGTGTTGTAATTTGGGTATGATATACATGAATATGTCTACTTTGATACCACAAACTAAAATTGGCTAGTGCCGGATAAAAAATTTTAATTAATAGATATTTAAATAAAAAATACACAAAAAATATTGCTTGGGATAATTGGGTATGAGGTAATCAAACGAATATTTGTTTTCAAGGAGCTCTTCAGGACGCACTTATAGTACTAGATGTTTGTAATTTTGGTATTTTGTTCTTCAATATGTCTACTTTTGGACCAAAATATTAAAAGTGATAAATTCAGGATAAATCTTGCAGATAAATTATATTTTTGTATAAATTTACACTTTTCCTTGACTAGCATTATACAGACGTTTGTATTTCAAGGAGCTCTTCAGGACGCACTTATAGTACTAGAGTTTTGTAAAATTTTGGTATTTTGTTCTTCAATATGTCTACTTTGATACCACAAACTAAAATTGGCTAGTCCCGGATAAAATATTTTAATTAATAAATATTTAAATAAAAAATACACAAAAAATATTGGTTGGGATAATTGGGTATGAGGTATTAAAACAAATGTTTGTTTTCAAAGAGCTCTTTAGGATGTATTGTTAGTATTAGAATGTTGTAATTTAGTTATGATATACATGAATATGTCTATTATGATAAGACATAATAAATTTGCTAAGTCTTGAACAAAAAATATAAGTAATTAAATAATTAATTAAAAAACACACACTAAAAAAGCAATATCTCATAAGAAACAAAATGGCAATATTTTACATAAATCAATATTAATAAAAATCTTACCTTTGTTTAGAAGTTTTGCTGCTTTTCTCACTAATATCAACTGCAGGTGTACTATCAAGCGTAGGATCATTTTTTAACATATCATGAGAAGATTTACCTTTTGTTGAATATTTCTGATTAGCACTTGTACTTTCAAATTCATCTTCTTCTGCTTCTTCACCAAAGGATAATAATTTAAAGTTTCTAAACAAAAAAAATACTATGCATAAACATATAAATATATATATATATATATATATATACATATATATTTATATATCTATTCCCTCACTTGACTCCTTTCTTCTTCTCCTTAACCTTAACAGGTTCCTTAAACTCGAATTCCTTACTAACCCTCGGCACGATATCAGAAAAAGGATTATTCAATATTTCAACTTTCAATATCTTCTGCGGGTACATAGGCCTTTCATCGTCATCAGTTTCGCATTCTTCTAACTTCAACATATTGAACAAAGTCTCTCCAGTGACTTTACCAAATATCGTATGCTTGTTTTGAAGTTCCGGAGTAGCTGCCAAGGTGAAAAAGAATTGGGACCCATTGTCATCTTTTCCTGCATTTGCCATTGCAAGAAGACCACGTCTGGCAAATCTGAGACGCTGGTGGAACTCATCCTGAGAAAAGAAATACAATATTGATTCTGTTTGTGTAATTGGTTTTTGATTTGTAGTTCAGACTTTGAAAGGTTCTCCATAAATTGATTCGCCTCCAGTGCCGTCACCATTGGGGTCTCCTCCTTGGACAATAAATCCTTTAACGACTCTGTGAAATATTGTACCATCGTAATAACCTTCCATACAGAGTTGTATGAAGTTTCTGCATGCTTTTGGAGCCTCTTTTGCCCATAGTTCTACGTCGATGTCACCTACTGTTGTTTTTAGCAAAACCTACAAAGAAATAAATAGATTTATGAGAAACTAACCTTTACATATACAATACTAACAAAAACGCTAAATTATGAATATAAATAAATTATTTATTACCTTTCCTGACGTCGGAGGCTCTTGTATATAAATACTACTCATTTTGCTCTAATTTATTAAATATATACAAAAATTCTATTAAAATAAGTTAAAACTTTAATTTAATTTAACCACACACGTTTACACTTTTCACACACAAATTAAAGTATTATTATCATTCAATAATTCATAATATATTGATTTCTTTCAGTTATTTTTACACAATTTAAAGAAATCGTAAAGGTTAAGTTTTGACATTTGTAAACATCTTGACAGTTTTCAATGAAAATGGCGCCATATTAAAAAATGTTTAACAATAAATTTGTTTGAATCAAAAACTATGTGTAATAATTTAATAAATGATAAATTATATTATTTGAATCACATATAAGCTACAATTTGACTTATTTTTAGATCTATAACATATTTAAATACATATATAAATTTTTAAAAATATTCTTGACAGTTTACAAAAATGGCGCCAAATTCAAATGCTAATTTTAATCAATTTTACATAGATAAAAGAAGAGTATATATTATATAAACAGATATTATTAGTTTTTTAAAATAATAATATTGTGAATCATACAAATTACATTTTTAATGTCTTTTTAACATCAACATATCTCTTTTATTAATTATTTTAAAAATAAAGTTTATTGAATGTCAATCAGTTTTCAATCAAAATGGCGTCATTTTTAAAAATTAAAAATGTAAATTAAAAACACATGTAAAATATTTAAGTAAATGGTTGACTATATTAAAATCACATATAATTCATAATTCAAGTTATTTCTAAATCTATAACGTATTTAAATGCATATATGAATTTTTGAAAATATTCTTGACAGTTTGCAAAAATGGCGCCAAATTCAAACGCAAATTTAAATTTTTTTAATAGTTTTTTAATTCAATAATATTTATAATCGTAAATCATATAATCTATTTCTATTATTTTATTAAACAACAATATATCAAATGTAAACATAATATATCAAATTTATATCATATATCAAATGTTTTCAAATTTATTTATATAAATAAATGACGCTAAATTCAAATGTATTCTACAAAACAATTTTAAATAAATAATATATAAACAAATATTTTGAGCATTTTATGGTAAAAATCAAATAAAGTTTATTGAATGCAAGTATATTATATTACATCCTATAGTTGTACAAATAAATAAATAAAATAAATAATAATGAACATACTAAAATTATAAATTTGATTCATATTTGAGTTATTGGTAAAATATTAATATTAAAATAATAAAGCTACAAAATTAAATAGTGCTAACCAATTTTGTTTTTAAATAAAATTTTGTATAAAATTACAGAACAATTTATCATTTTTATATTAATGGCACGATTATTTATATGTTTATTAAATCCTAAACTTACTAAACGACAAACTTAAATTATTATAAATACATAATTAATTCATGATCGAATTATATAACAACTTGATCATCGTAAATAACTTAAATAAATAAACTTAATATATATTATTATAATAATTATTTAACTGGCACTTTATTTAAGTATTAAGAATCAAGTATCAAAGGTTTCAGAATGACTTGAAACGTAAAAAAAAAAACAAATTTTTGCAGTAACTGTTATGAAACAAAGTTACGTCAATACAACGTAATTGAAATACGGTTACGTTAATAGAATGTAACAGAAATAGTTTTGTTTGTAATCTCAATTTTATTTTGACTTGCAAAGTTAATTACTTTTTTATGCAAAATTACCAAAAAATGTTCAAATAAAAACCAAATCCCAAAATTGTGACTTGATAGTTTTAAAGAGAGTACTAAAAATATCCGAGAAATGTTTTACGAAAATTCTGAAAAACCGCCTAAAATTAACTAAGCATCAAGTAATTAACTAAGCAGCAAGTATCAAAGGGTTCAGAATGACTTGAAACGTCTAAAAACATAAACTTCTTTAGGTAGTCAAAAACCACAATTTAATTTCAACTTTAACGTAACTGTTATGAAACAGAGTTACGTTAGTACAACGTTACAGAAATACGTTACGTTAATACAACGTAACAGAAACAGTTTTGTTTGTGATCTCAATATTATTTTGACCTGCAAAGTTTATTATGTACTTTTTTATGTAAAATTATCAAAAAAATGTTCAAATAAAAACCAAATCCCAAAATTGTGACATTATAGTTTTAAAGAAAGTACTATTCATCGTAGCAAAATATATGATTACACAAATGAATAAAACTTTAAATATGATGGACTAAAAATTTCGAAAGTCTCGAAAAAATGTTTTAAAAAATATTTAAAAACCGCCTAAAATTAACGTAATTAATTAAATTAATTAATTAAATTAAAGTGAGTCAAAGACCAATAAAAAAAACCTAATTCAATATTATTAAAATGCGAATTCATAAAACAGAATTCTAACGAACCGTCCAAGTATTTCCAACCCGAACCTAACCTAACTTTTATAACTATTTCATATTATCTTATTTTAATTATGTATCCGTCTCGTTTTCCTTTTCATCGTACCCTTGTCGTCCACAATTTTTATTTGTGCAAATATAAGGATTATTTAAAGTTGGACAGTTGAAATGTTCAAATTGTTTTTTCCAAGTCATCGATTTGTTTCCAACCGGTTCAAACATATTGTTCCAGAGCGCATTCGTTGCTAAAATTGATAAAAAAATAAATAGATAAAAAATAAATAGATAAAAAAATATATAGGCGTAAATTGCATGATATATGGATAAAATAACAAAGGAATAATGTATATTGTGTGAGAGAGACGAATAGTGACGTATAGAGAGTGTCATTAGAGACAATAAACGAGTAATTAGAGATGAGGTGTGTTAATAAAGTTTTTATTACAATATAATCATTTTTTTCGTTTTCTACTCGTCGAGACTTTTCAAACGATACCCCACATGCCAAAAAAATACTATCTGAAATTTTTGAAGTAAAACTTCTTCAAGCTCGCTCACTACAAATTAATAAAAATCGTATTTTTTGTGGACAAATCACAAAGTTAATTTCCGCATTTAAATTCTATTTGAAAAGGGCTTTCAAATGATATCCCACATGCCATGAAATACAATCTAAAATTTTTGAAGTAAAACTTCTTTAGACTCCTCTGCTGTAAATTCGTAAAATGTGTGTATTTTGTAGACAATTCACAAAGTTAATTTCGGTATTTAGATTCTATTCAGAAAGGCCTTTCAAATGATACCCCATATGCCATAAAAACACAATCTAACATTTTTAAAGTAAAACTTCTTTAGACTTCTCTGGTACAAATTCATAAAAAGTGTATATTTTGTGGATAAATTACATAATTAATTTTAGTATTAGTTACAAATAATATTTATTTTTGAAAAAATCGTCTTCTACTTGTCGAGATCTTTTAAATGATACAATTTGAAATTTTTCAAGTAAAACTTCTTTAAGCTCGCTTACTACAAATTCATAAAAAGCGTATATTTTATGAACAGACCATATAGTTAATTTCAGTATTCGGATTCTAATCAAAAAGACCTTTAAAACGATACCCAACATGCCATAATAACACAATCTGAATTTTCTGAAGTAAAACTTCTTTAGACTTTTCAGATACAAATTCGTAAAAAGTGTATATTTTATGGATAAATCACATAGTAAATTTCAGTATTAGTTACAAATAATTTTTTTTTAAATCGTCTTCTATTCGTCGAGACCTTTTAAACGATACCCAACATGCGATAAAAGATACTATCTAAAATTTTTGAAGTAAAACTTCTTTAGACTCATCCGCTACAAATACATAAAAATTGTATATTTTGTGGATATATCACATAGGTAATTTTAGTATTCGGTAGAAAAATATAACACCTAAAAAAATCAATAAATTAAAACATTGCAGTAAAACTTCTTTAAGCTCGTTTACTACAAATTTATGAAACGTGTATATTTTATGAATAAACCATACAATTGATTTCAGTATTTGTCTTCTACTTATCGAGACCTTTTAAACGACACCCAACGTGCCATAAAAAATACTATCTAAAATTTTTGAAGTAAAACTTCTTTAGACTCCTCTGCTACAAATTTGTAAAAAGTGTACATATTGTAGAATAATCACGTAGTTTATTCCAGTATTCGGATTCTATTCAAAAATACCTTTCACACGATACCCCACATGCCACAAAAACACTATTGAATTTTTTGAAGTAAAACTTCTTTAAGCTCGCTTGGTACAAATGCATTAAAAGATAATTATGTTGACGTAAATAGAATAGAATAACAAAAGAATAATGTATATTGTGTGAGAGAGACAAATAGTGACATATAGAGATGAATATTGTATAGAGTGTCATTAGAAACAATAAACGAGTGATTCAAGATGAGGTGTGTTAATAAAGTGTTTATTATAATATAATCGTTTTTTCGTTTTCTACTCATCGATACCTTTTAAACGATACCCAACATGCCATAAAAGATACAATCTGATATTTTTGAAGTAAAACTTCTTTAAGCTCGCTTAGTACAAATGCATTAAAAGATAATTATAGCATGTCATATGGATAGAATAACGAAAGAACAATGTATATTGTGTGAGAGAGACAAATAGTGACATATAGAGATGAACATTGTATAGAGAATGTCATTAGAGACCATAAACGACAATCAACTATCCCTTACCCCTAGAGTATCCCTTCTGGCTGAAGTGGAAGCAATCAGCGCTGAGCAGCGTAAAATCAGTACTTTTACCATCATCGCTCAAAGGAAAAACCAGTTTTTCCGGAAAAGTTTGCACGACGACTCCAAAATCTTCGGTATCGGCATATTCTGGCAAATCGGCGACCTCCTTGTCAATTTTCTGCCATTGTCTGATAACTTCTTCATAATGAGCCCTTTTGTGCGAATGCATCGCCCCGAAGAAACAAGGGCATTCCATCAGATGGGTCAGACGACAGGATAAGGGACGGTTGAGGAATTTAGTCAACAGGGCAACGTCTGGAAAATAGAATTAAAACTCAAAAATCGTGTCTTGAGGCAAATTACTGGAACTTTCCGTACCGTAATGAATTATATTCGAGGAATTTTAAACGTTAATAATAAATACTGTAG